CGTCACCACCGCCGTCACCACCACCTCCACTGCCTCCTCCGCCCTCAGCGCCACCCTCGCCACCCCCACCGTCGGTGCCACCGCCATCACAGCCAGAGTGTGCCGGCCCTAACAGTGGTTCATGGTACTTGGGCAATGCCGGTGACAGCTGCGTCCAAGTCTGCGACGCTCAAACAGCGCAGAGCGGGCCGAGACTCGTAACGACGAACGACGACTTATTCGCGCGGCGCTTTGAGTTAGATACCGTAGAAAAGGTGAACTCACTGTATCGCCAGGCAGACGGGAAAGATTGCTCGGATAGCTCAGTAGTCGGCAGCAGCTTCAACAAGTATGCCCCTGCCGTGAATGGCGACAACGACTTCTGCATAGCAGTGAACAGTGCGGGTCAAACACTAGAGGACGTCGACATCACGCAGTCATCTACAAACCGGCGCAGATTCTGTTGGTGCTTTTGCTACATGCCTCCACGGTCCCCGCCACCGCCACCGCCATCACCGCCGCCGTCGCCTCCGCCACCCTCGCCGCCTCCGCCCTCGCCGCCGCCGTCGCCACCGCCGTCCTCGCCAACTCCGCCACGTTCGCCACCGTTCTGCCCGACCGGCATCGTCTTAGACCACAACGACGCAGACCCAGCATCGACCAAGACCAGCTTGGGCTCGCACGATTCACCATATGAGGTGTACGAGTACGTCGGCGGGCAGTACGTCATCACAGCGACGCAGAGGCACACCTGGCTCCCTTTCACTGGTGGATCGGACGCTCCAGTTGGGACCCTCTACCTGTGCACGGTAAGTGCCCACGGCGGCTGGGGCGTGCATCAAGCCCACTGCTGCGACTGCACCGCGAGTGATCCTCTGAGCGCCTCTCGAACCAGCATGTACGGTCCGTCTGGCGGCTACACCTGCTACTATGACTGCACCGAGTGCACCGAAGCCATGTCGCCGCCCCCGCCGCTCTCACCATCGCCTTCACCGCCTCCGCCCTCGCCGCCGCCCCCGAGCCCGCCGCCTCCCTCGCCGCCGCCCTCGCCGCCTCCGCCAAGCCCGCCACCGAGCCCTCCCCCGCCCTCGCCGCCGCCGCCGTCGCCACCGCCCTCTCCGCCGCCGCCCTCTCCGCCGCCCTCGCCGCCGCCGCCGTCCCCGCCGCCCTCGCCGCCTCCGCCCTCTCCGCCCGCACACCACAACGCACCGCCGCCCTCGCCGCCGCCGCCCTCGCCGCCTCCACCGTCGCCGCCGCCCTCGCCACCGCCGCCCTCGCCGCCGCCGCCGTCGCCACCGCCCTCTCCGCCGCCGCCCTCGCCGCCGCCCTCGCCGCCTCCGCCAAGCCCGCCACCGAGCCCTCCCCCGCCCTCGCCGCCTCCGCCCTCTCCGCCCGCACACCACAACGCACCGCCGCCCTCGCCGCCGCCGCCCTCGCCGCCCCCACCGTCGCCGCCGCCCTCGCCACCGCCGCCCTCGCCGCCGCCGCCGTCGCCACCGCCCTCTCCGCCGCCGCCCTCGCCGCCGCCCTCGCCGCCGCCGCCGTCGCCACCGCCCTCTCCACCGCCGCCCTCGCCGCCGCCCTCGCCGCCGCCGCCGTCCCCGCCGCCGCCGTCCCCACCGCCCTCGCCGCCTCCGCCCTCGCCGCCCGCACACCACAACGCACCGCCGCCCTCGCCTCCGCCGCCCTCGCCGCCCCCACCGTCGCCGCCGCCCTCGCCACCGCCGCCCTCGCCGCCCCCACCGTCGCCGCCGCCCTCGCCACCGCCTCCGTCGCCTCCGCCTCCGTCGGCACCGCCCTCGCCGCCTCCGCCCTCGCCGCAACCCTCGCCGCCGACGCCGAGCCCGCCGCCGCCATCGCCGCCGCCCTCGCCGCCTCCGCCAAGCCCGCCACCGAGCTCTCCCCCGCCGTCATCGCCGACGCCGACAACACCGGCCTATCAGCAGCCGCCCTCGCCGCCGGCCTCGCCGACGCCGACGACGAC